GAACCTATACAGACCCCCCCCCCTCAAAAAATCTTCTGGTTGCAATGTCTAGAAAGCAAAGGAGGCTTGAAGGATCAAAGCAACAGGAGCACGGCTAAGGTTCTTTGGGGGAAAGCTGGTAGGAATAACTTTTGAAAGAATGCCAAGGTGGGTTTTTTTGTGGGACCCCCCCCCCCAATACATACATTTGTCATCGTTAGAAGAGCTACATTTAGCCACCGAGACTCGCTGGGTCACCGAAAGGTAGTCTAACCGGCCACACAGGCAGGCAGGGTATTCCAAGTCCCCACTGCTCCTCGCTGTATCTGTCTGACTTAACCATGAGGCTACGGCAGCGGCAAGCCCAAGGAGGGAGACCAGGAGAGGGCTCAGAGACAGGAAGCGCTGCGGCAAGCAGGCCAATCAGACTTCAATCCTCTTGGGCCACAAAGCAACACGTAAACCTCACTTTCAGTTTTATGCTGTTAATGGGCCACATATCCAAGTTACAGCCAATTTAGCTTGGTGGATTAAAACAGCATGCACGGGTCTTACTTTCCTTCCCCATTGATTGCACTTGAGGACACAAATATCATCTGAAGGCGCCGGAGGCATTTGTCTAGCTGGGATTGTTCAGGGAGCATTCCTAATTGCACAGCGCCACTCAGTGGATGAGCTTGTCTTCGAGCACTGTTGAATTAAGAAGAACCAGAATGAATAAAGCAGGAGTCCAGTTAGTCTTGCCTTAAAGACCAACAGAATGTAAATTCCCAGCATAAGCTGTTCACAAGTCAAAGCTGACTTCATCAGATGCATTGGATTTAAGATGACTGATGCATACAATAGAAAGGTGGAAACGACTGGTACCAAGAGGCCAGTTCAAAATAAGATCCAGTCCACAGAGCAATGAGTTCATTCGGAATGGGAGTGAGACACTCCCAACGGTTGTTAGAGAGGCAAAATAGGAAACCTAATGCTGGATGAAAATAGCAGATACAATAGGAACTTAAAAGAGATATACGTAACATAATTAGCATCTGTAATGGGTGGGATATGCAAGACACCAGCCTTTGTGGTGGGTTAGGAATCCCCCCAAGGTTTGTATTAAGCGGGGGTGGGGGAGCAGGGCTACATGGTTTTTTTTTGGGGGGGGGTGAATTCTAATTCAGCAATTCCATGTTGCATCCTCCCTTTGAGGGCCCTTGAAAGAGAACTGTAACTTTTTAGCCAGCAACCATGGAAGATAAAAATGTTCACCCAGTGGCTCCTGAGGATTGTGATTTCTTAAAAATGTCAGATTGCTCTCCTTTTCTTTGTATACCTCTGGACTGACCAGCTGTCCAGTACAGAGAGCAGAAGGGCCTCATTGGCACAGCAAGGCAGGTCTTACCCTGGAGGAGGAGCAAATGGATGAGTTGAGATGGCACAGCTGAGGTTATTTGGTCCTGTGCTCACGTTGCTGGAGTGCAAAGTTCACAGTGGGGTTTGCTTCCAGGCTTGGTGCCTGTGCACATTTCTTTGGTGATGCACTTTACACTGACACAAGGAAACACAAACCATTCAAGGCCTGCAAGACAGAAACAGCCCCCCCCCCCCCAGAAGCTGAAGGTCAAGGAGGACGTGCTGGGCTGGGCTGGTCAGTGGAGGCATATCTGCCCCCTGTGGGGCAATGCCTCCCACCCCAGGAGTCTAGTAGCACAGTTTGGTTTGCACCCTGTGCAGGCACAGATACCTATCGGGCTCCTCTGGAGGGCCAACAACAGGCCATAGAGGCCGAGGCCTTCCCCTGATAAAAAACATAAGAAGAGCCCTGCTGGATCTGACCAGTGCTCTATCTAGTCCAGCATCCCATCTCTCACAGTAGCCAACTAGTTCCTCTGGAGGGCCAACAAGCAGGGCATAGAGGCCAAGGCCTTCCCCTGACAAAAACGTAAGAAGAGCCCTGCTGGATCAGAGCAGTGGTCCATCTAGTCCAGTATCCTGTCTCACACAGGGGCCAACCAGTTCCTCTGGAGGGCCAGCAACGGGGCATAGAGGCTGAGGCCCTGTCCGGAGAAGAACATCAGAAGAGCCCTGCTGGAACAGACCAGTGGTCCATCTGGTCCAGCACCATGTCGCACACAGTGGCCAACCAGTTCCTCTGGACAGTCAACAATAGGGCATAGAGACCGAGGCCTTCCCCTGATGTTGCCTCCTGGCACTGGGTTTCAGAGGTTTAGTGCCTCTGAATGTGGAGGTTCCCCTCAGCCACCATGGCTAGTAGCTACTGATAGACTTATCCTCCATGAATCTATCTAACCCCTTTTACAGCTGTTTACTCCTGTGGCCACCACTACGTCCTCTGGCAGTCAATTCCACATTTTAATAACTTGCTGTGTAAAGTAGTATTTCCTTTTGTCTGTCCTCAACCTACTGCTCATCAGCTTCATAGGATGCCCTTGCATTCTAGTATTTTAGGAGAGGGGAAGAGAGTTCTCTTTGTCAACTCTCTCCACCCTGTGCATAATTTTATAATGCTGTTCCTGGTGGTTTGTAGCCCATGTTGAGAATAGGGAGGATGCAGGTACACAGAGACACGACATTGGCATGACATGGTTATAGCATTTTTTAAGGGGGAGCAATGCAAATCATATTATTCCACACTGCAGTTCATTAAGAATGCTACCCAGCTATCCAGAGAAGCAGACTCTTGGAGAAATCAGTCCTCAACAACATTCATTTCTAAGAAGGATAAGTTTATTGAGACATTGATAGGATCCAGCCTCTACCTTGGCTGTGTTAGAACTGAGCTTAAAGGCGCGAAAGCGATAGATATACAGGGTTCACACGAGGGCCCTAAAAGGTTCAGAACCAATCACCCCCTTGGATTCCACCCACCAAATGTAACTGCCATCCATCCCCCCCTTAGTGCCATCCCCCCATCTTGTCAGACAAAAGCCAGCACAGAAATTTGAGACTCAAGGCCATAAGAGGTTCTCAGGGAAACTGGAGAGAGAACGTGTCTGGTACATCAAAGCATCTGTGGAAAATGAAAGCATTCAGGTTTCACGCTCTTCCATCCCCCTCCCAATCACCATGGTAAAATGCAAAATGTGCAGTGAGTTTGACATTGCTCTGGCTGAGCATGCCCATTTCAGAACTGTTTAGCTCCAGACCGCAACCTTCCCAAAGGAGTGGCTTTGCTATCAGGTCTCCACTCCTTTGTTAACTTCGCTCATAACCCATTCAATGAGGATTACAAAAATACAGGAAACAATCCAATGAAGCAACTGAAGACATCTGGTAAAAATGTAACAGGACTAGGGTTACTGACTTGAGAAAACCATGCAGACCGAAACTGGCCAAGGCAGGTTGTCACATAAGCTATGCAGCAAGTGAATAACAGAGGCACAATACAGGGCTGTAGAAGCAAGACGACGCATACAATAAACCCTCCAGCAGACTCCAGCCCTATTCCTAGACCAGGGGGGTCCCCGACCTGTTTTAAGTCGGTGGGCACCTTTGGAGTTCTGACACAGCACGGTGGACGGAGCCACAGAACAGCGGCCACAGCCGACCTTCAGTCACACAGCGAAGGCCCTTGTGCGGTGGTGGCAGCCGCTGCCAAAGTGATGTTTTTAAAAAATGTGCACCGCCCATCAAATCTCCAGTGGCCAGTCACAAGCCTTGCTGGACAAAGAGGCACCGACCTGGCCTCACCCACTTTGAGCATCAGGAAAGGGTGTCATCAGGCACCACGGCGCCCACTGGCACTGCCCTGGGGGACTCCTGTCCTGGATGGTGCCACTGCCCGGCACTTCTGATCCCTTGATATAAACATCCTCCTAGACAACGGTGTTGTTTTACACAATCTGTGGCATGACAAAAGTGAATGCAGAGAATGTTCCTGGGCCAGCAGCTGCCAATCTTACCCATTTGCAGGGTGGCACCTTTAGGAAGGTCGAGAAGGGAGGCAGCTTGAACCAATCAGGGACTGCAGAATGGGTGCCAGAGGCAAACTCCCCCTCGCTGGCATTCCAGACGAAAGAGGAGGCCCCTGTGGAGTGCATTAAAGCAGTCTGATCTCAAAGCAGCAGCTGCTCCAGACCTGGGCAAGAGCTGGCTACTGACTCCTGCTCGGGAGGGGAGCTGACTGCAGAGGGGGCAGGATGGGGGCTTGGGGAGGCTGCCGTCCACACGGAAAGGGGCCCCTCCAAGATTCACCTCTTGGGGCAGGAGCACTCCTCGTGAGCAAGAGCAGGCGTCAGCCGATGCATGAAAGTGAACGGGCAGGTGGCAACAGGGAAAACGCGCAGACACTGCTGTGCCGACTCTGGATGCAAACGAGGCCTCTTTAACCCGGTGTCAGCAAGCTGCCAATAGTTCATTATTGCCTATATGTTTCTCTATGCATTTTTCCCTCCCTGCCGTAGATGCGCTCAGCTTCTCATGCACACATCTCCCCAGTAACTCTGCATTCCTTTCAGTATACGCCAGCCATGCTTTGATGTAACGTTATCTAGCCAAGGCCACAGGTGGAAGAGCAAGAGAGCTTTGCTTTGTCTTTAATTAGTAGAGACTGTAAGAAAGTGTATGCTTATTTATAAGGTAGCCGTTGCTTTCCCAAGGAATAGGCGCGCAAGAAACCCTTTGGGCGCGTGCGGGAATCATGTTTATTGGCTGTATTGATTATGAACTTGCTTTAACCTTTCCAGCTCTCCGAGCTATCGTTATTCTGAACAGTGGCCCTGTTCAAGTGCTTCATGGCTTCAATAAAGTAAAACCTTCCTGCAAGTGTGTACTTCGTTGTTTGCTGTGGGGTCTGACACCCGGACGAGTCTCAAGTTCAGCGTGCTGGAAGTGCCGGCTGCTTCTCGGTCCATATTTCTCTACTGAGTTCCTTTGTCCCCCCACCCCCTCCTCCCAAAGTGGCTGACATCCTCTCTTCTCCTCCGTTTTATCCTCCCAACAAGGCGGGGAGGGAACTTAGGCTGAGAGAGTGTCAGCCTGGCCCAAGGTCGCCCAGGGAGCTTCCACCCAGATTCTAGTCTGACACTCTTAACCACGACACCACACTGACTCTGCACACATTCACGTTCTTCACAGAACTGGCCTTTGTCACTTGCTGAGAAGGTCGCAGGACATGTCGAAGCCCCGGATCACTCCTAGAGCTGTGTGGTGGGCGGTCCATTACTGCTTCCAGTTAGGGGGCCTTTCTGCAGCCAGGGGAACTGCGGTTTCCTGAGACAGTTATATGCCGTAAGATTTTTACGGGGACCTAGGGGCACTCATCAGAAGAACTGCACACGGGGAAAGACCCATCAGCCACCACCGTCCCTGCAGATTAACATGCCAGGCTATGCAGAAAGGTCAGTCTCTAATGGCTATGAAGCCTATCTGCGTCCCAAAGTTTTCACCATCGCGTACGTGAGAGTAGAACTGATCAGGGTGGCAGGACGTACAGAGTGTGAGGTTTTGGAGTGGGTCCATCACAGAATCGTCTTGAATGTTCTGAGGCAGAATTCCTCCAGCTTCCAGAAGAACTCTTTGAGGAGAGACGAGGAGAAAATGGTCTATGATAGCAGACAGTTATTACAGAAACTCTCTATCCCATCTCTGACTCCCTCCTTCCTTTACGGAACTCAGAGGGGCATGAATTTTATCCAAACAACCGTGTAGGTTAGGTTATGCCACGTGTGTGACTGGCCCAGGGCAATCCAGGCACGGTGAGGATCTAAACCGAGGCTGCCTCCGTGCCCTGACCGCTTGGCTAGATTGGCTCTCCAGGAGGACATTTCGCTTCCAGCGCTTGCATGCACACCCTGCTCAGTGCCTCGTGACTTCGTGGGGCCTCGGGAGGAGAGGAGGCAGTGCTCTGAGAGAGAGCCGCCAGAAGGACAAGCGGTGCCAGCACCCTGCCCTGCCGGGAAGAGGGGCAATAAAGAAGGCCAATGCTATGCTGGGGATTATTAGGAAGGGTATTGAAAACAGATCAGCCAATATCAAAATGCCCCTGTATAAATCAATGGTGCGACCTCATTTGGAATACTGTGTGCAGTTCTGGTCACCACACCTCAAAAAGGATATTATAGCTTTGGAAAAAGTGCAGAAAAGGGCAACTCGAATGATAAAGGGGTTGGAACACTTTCCCTATGAGGAAAGGTTAAGGCGCTTAGGGCTCTTTAGCTTGGAGAAACGATGACTGAGGGGTGACATGATCGAGGTTTATAAGATTATGCATGGGACAGAGCAGGTAGAGAAAGAGGTACTTTTCTCCCTTTCTCACAATACAAGAACTCGTGGGCACTCCATGAAATTGCTGAGCGGTCGGGTTAGAACGGATAAGAGGAAGTACTTCTTCACCCAAAGAGTGATTAACACTTGGAATTCACTGCCACAGGAGGTGGTGGCGGCTACAAGCATGGACGGCTTCAAAAGGGAATTAGATAAGCATATGGAGCAGAGGTCCATCAGTGGCTATTAGCCACAAGGTATAGATAGGGACTCTGGGGCAAGTGATGCTCTGTCATCTTGGTACTTGGGGGGGGTCAACAGTGGGAGGGCTTCTAGTGTCCTGGCCCCACTGGTGGACCTCCTGATGGCACCCGGTATTTCTGGCCACTGTGTGATACAGAGTGTTGGACTGGATGTGCCTTTGGCCTGATCCAACATTGGCATCTCTAAAAAAAACAAAACAACCTGGGGTCCCAGCCGAGACGCTGCCTGCTGGGACTGCTCCACGCCCAAAGGGGCCCCAGGAAGGACTGGACAGAGATGGGGGTGAACCATCCCAGAAGTGGAAGGCGTTTCCTCCACAGCCAGGAAAAAGCAAGGAGGAGCCGATAAGCTGAATTTCACAGGTTTGCTGCTCATGTTTCATGACTGTGACCCTCTTGCCAGCTTTATCCCTGACAGAAAAGGGGCTTGCTCCTTGCCACAGTGTCATCCCATGTTGCTTCCCCCCCCCCCCGACTCCTAGCAGACCATTTTCTGGGGTCAAAAGTGGCCCTGTTTCCCTGCTGTGCCAAAGGAAAAGCTGGCAGGATCAGTCCCACTGGAGATAATAGCAAAATAGCCACACACACACACACACACACACACACACACACACACACACGATAATGAAAGCAATGAAGCCAGACTCCCCCCACACACACACACAAACAAGGCAGGGTCCCCACTTGGGGACTCCCCCTGGACGTGGAAGCCTAAGTGTCACTCCAGGCAAACAAAAGGAGCACACCTGCCCCCAAGGAGCCCCGTAGGGAAAAAGTGGGCTCTGGGAAAACGAAGCCGAAGCGTGGAGGGGAGGGACTCCCAAATCCCACCCCCCCTTTCTCTGACCTGTGGACCACGAGCCATGGCCACAGAGTACAAGCTCCTGGCAATAGATCCAAGTGGGCAGCCCTGTTGGTCTGAAGCAGCAGAACAAAGTCTGAGCCCGGGGGGGGGCGCCTTGAAGGCCAACCAAGTTTCATTCTGGGCATGAGCTTTTGTGTGCACACGAGGGCTTAGACCCAGAAGGCAACGTGCCTGGTCTTCAAGGTGTCCCCCCTGGGCTCAAGCTCTTGTGGGGAAGACAGGCAATACACAAACACAACAAGTATGAAATCAAAACCCGGTCTCCCACTACTGCTGCCTCAAGATGCTCATGCTCTGGTGTGTCCGTTCCGGGGGGTGTGGGGTATTCCTTAACTGAGGGGTGGCACATAAGAATATGTCCCCACGACTGTAACGTTATACCTCAAGGGTCAGTCTAAGTGCTTTCGCTCAGTCAGGCTTAAGGGCCATGAGGAAACACGGGACTTGAAGGCACCCTCCCAGGTGTGGTTCTCTCAGTGTCTTCCCACCCCAGAAGCTGCCTGTCTCCCCCCCCCAAACTGGTACCATTGTCTCCCCTCGGCCCAGAGTCCTCCAGGGAAGGAAGCCCCCCAACCTGCCTTCCTCAGATGCCTCCACAGATGACTAGGCCCCTCCCACATTCGACAGCATTTGGACTAATAAAACTCCCACTTACCGTGTTGCTCTTCTAATGTCAACAGAGGGTTTTGCGGACTCCAAATGCCTTACACATTTTGGATCAGTCCTATGAAACTGCTTTGCTGATTCTTGTGGTAGCGTAAAGCAACAAGGTCCAACTGACGGCCCCAAGACGACGCGTATGTCTTCCACACGACAGCCATATTCAGCCACCATGGCGCCGACCGTCGCCATGGACACCCCCAGCAACGTGCCTTGCCAGCCTGAGGAGCAGGGGAGAGGAGGGATCCGGGGTGGGTGGGTGGGTGGAAATTCTGGGGTTTAAAAAACAAACACAAAATCCCACCCAGCATCCTCTAGTCAAGGCAGGGCAGGGCAGGGCAGTGTGTGTGTGTATATATATTATAAAAAGTGGATTTAAGCAGAGATGTGTCAGTGTCTCCCCACCCCTCCTCAGGTTTTTATTCAATTTTTTTAGTGGAAAAAAATTAGGACATTTTGAGGAGCACTAAAAAAAACTCCTACGAAACATTGAAATGCTTTTCAAGACAAAGTTTTACTCAAAATGTGTCCCTGGGGGAAGGGGCATCCCCCCCCCCCCCCGCCCCCCCTTCCCCTTCGCGGAAAAAAAAAAAAAAATGTGCGAGCCGTAGGCTCAGAAACCCGTCAGGTAGCTCACACAACCTCAGCTTAGAGGGAACGCTCCCTGCTCTTCACCCCGACCTCCAGCTCATCATACCCGCAGAGAGAGAAAGAGCGCGAGTAGAAAGCCTGGGCGTGGAGAAGAGCAGAGTCACTGTCTCATCCTTTGCCATCCCCGTCTTCTTTGACCTTCAGTCTTTCCCAGCATCGGGGTCTTCTCCAGTGAGTGCTCCCTTCTCATTTGGTGGCCAAAGTATTTGAGCTTCAGTTTCATTATCTGGCCTTCCAGGGAACAGTCAGGGTAAATTAAATTAAATTTACCCAAATAAAACTGGGTAAATTTGCAGTTTTGCTTGCAGAAAACTTCTAAATTTCATGAGTATGCCACACAATGCTAAATGATATTTTATATTGTTAAAGTAGTAAAATATATTTAGGTTTCATAAGAAAGCAAATATTGTGGATATTTTGTTGTTTTGCCATTTTTTTTAAACTACCAACACTTTTTTGTCATTAGGGATGGGCACGAACCTAAAAAGGGCAGTTCAGTTTGGGGATCGGGGCAGCCCACAAACTGAACCAACCCAAATGGGCCCCACCCAAACCAAACCAGTCTAGCAAGTTTAGTTCCCCCTTTCTCCGGGCCCCAGTGAGCCGTGGCTGGGAGAAAGCAGGCAGGGACCACCGTGGAAGGGACTTCCTTTCCACCTTTCTCCTGGAGGGGGGGGCCGTGGGGGGGGGGGGGCCGGGGGGGGGGGGGAGAAGAGGGGGGAGAATCGCCCATGAATGTTTAAGCATATATATTTGAGTATGAAATTACGGGTTGTGGGCAAAGTAGATGGCGGGAGGGGGCAGTCACATGTCTGCCCAGTAGAAACTCGTGGGTGGGTGGTTTCAGCTGGGTAGCCATATCGGTCCGCAGTCGAATAGCTGGATTCAAGTCCAGTAGGTGTCTGGCAAAGGAAGCTCCAACTCTGGAAAGTTCTGCCCCACCCACCCCCGTCAGTCTGTCCTCAGGGGGCGCCTGGGCTGGCCTCTGGATGGGGGGGGGGGTGAGCCTCAGCGGTGCTTCTTGGGATGGGGGCCCAGACCGGCCTCCTCTGCCCCACTGGTGCCGGCCAGCCTTGCCACAGGCCTGCCGAGGAAACAGGAACAGGCGGCTGCTTGGCAGGATGTGGACCCTGCGTGCCCTGGGATCCCCCCCCCTCCCAGTTCAGTTAGAGGGAGAGGAGAAGTCTGTGCAGATCCTCCTTCCTTTGTTCTGCCAAAGTGCAGGTCCTTCCCTCAGCCTCCCAGCTGGGGGCACAGCTTCCCTGGAGACTTACCCTGGCCTGAGCTACATCACTGTTTCGGTTCCTCAATTAACTGGTTAAAACAAAGGACACGATCCAGCCCAAGTGGAACATTTTCCAGCCTCAGAACATCCCTGGATGGGACTGAAGCAAGTGCTTGATGCCTGTCCCAGCTACTGCAGCGGGGCCCGGAAGCGCGTGCACTCGCCTACAGGTCAAGCTAAAACTCAGCTGCTAAATGACTCCTTCCGAGAGAGGCCGTAAGAACAGAAGAACAAGGCCTGTGGTCTTCAGACTGAAATGCGGCCACTGGAAGGGACAAGGACAGGTGCTAGATCCCCGGGGAAATCTCTGCGGGCAGAAGGGGTCTCCAACAGCACTGCTTTGCCTTCCCCCCCTCCTACTGCACTCCAAAGGGGTCCTCAGAATGCTGACCCTGGGACAGGGAAACCCCCGGGGACAGCACGAGGAGAGGGAGGGAGGGAGGGAGCGAGCGAGCGAGGGAGGGAGAGGTCGGCAGCAGGAGCAGACAGGCGGGTGAAATCGGTCAGCAGAAAGCAGGACACAGAACGCAGCACTCGACCGGAAGGAAGATGGCTCGCCTAGCAGAAGGCAGTGCTATCGAAGGAGACACAAGCCAAGGACGACCCTTTGCAAAACCAAGCTGTGCTTACCTGAATGAGCAGCACCGCAGGCTTTTCTGACGGGATCTGCAAAGAGCAAGGGGATGCAGTCAGCTCCAGGAGCTGCTATGGCCACCCCTGCCTGGTCCGTTACGATCCCGTCGTAGCTCTCCGGCTGGGCCTTTCCCATGACCCAAACGTCGCTGGCATGGTTGACCTGCAGAGACCAAGCCGAGGTTTAGCCTGCCCGATGCAGCACAGAGAGGTGTGCCTGGCCCCCTCCCTTTCCATCTTTACAAGACAGGTGAAGACCAATGTTCCCTCTAAGCTGTGGAGTCTTGTGAGCAAAAGTTCTACCGTGTGAGCTACTGGCATTAAACTCTGCAAAAATGTTCTGCCTTGGATGTTTATTCTTTTCTTGTAGAATTTTCTTCCTATTAATTTGCTGCACCCTAGCTACTGCGCTGTTGACCATTTTCTTAGGGTAATTTTTGGATAAACATCCAAGGCAGAACATTCTGAATTGGATTTATCTTGTTTCCTATGATTTATAGATCAGTCTCCAGTGATCTTATCTTCTGGGTAACAAGATAAACACCTGTTTGAGGGACATGTAGCTGATGTTAAACCCATATACTAAACATACTTTAAGACTTTTAATATTACATCAACTTAGCTGCTTTATTATATATAACAGATTGATTAGATTTGACTTCTCCAGAAATTGGCTTCCTTGAGGTGGCAACTTCTAGTACATAGACTAATGGGGTGGCTGCAACTTTAGCAGGACATTACCAGCTGCATTCAATGTGGATTTATAAAATAGAACCAGTAGGTTAGTTACTCTGAGGCATGTTTGGTCCAACTTACATAATAGCAACCTTGGTAGGTGCTTTCTAAAGCTTAGGAGACCTGGCCCATATTGAAGTATAGTAGGTAGTGGTCCATATTTTCTTCTTTTTTAAAATAACATGATTAATTCTAAGGAGACATTCTCTTTTCCAGAGAAACTGAATAAAGTTTGTCTGTTAAGAAATTGCAATGAGACTTCCTGTAGTGGGTAAGATTATATGAGACTTTGTGAAATAAGTGTAAAATGTTTGTACTTTATGAAATATTAAGAGGCTTAAATGGCAATAAAAAATGTTTGTATTTTGTATGTTCTTACAGCTTTTTGTTCCTGAGGAAGGACCAGAAGTCCGAAACACTGAACAATACCTAGGAAAAGTGTTGATATCTATTCCAGACTTCATTGTTTCCCTTGGAGAAATTTCTATTCTGGACTTTGTTCTTTCCCTTTGGGATTTTGTGGACTTTTGTATTTTCCTATGATGGGTTACATGTGTTGAATTACCTTTGTGCTGTAGTCTCTTTTTGTTAACTTTGGTGCGGGTTTGTGCAGTACACAGTTGTTATTTGCTGTTTTTTTGGTCACACAGGAGGATGCCTGTGTTGTGACACAATGGGATCCTATAGAGCATACATTCTTTGTGAACTATTTCCTCCACATGGAAATGTAAGCAGGCATGATCAAGGGTAACTTGCTTTCTTCAGCTGAGTGCCAGCAATATTTTGAGTCTTTCACTGAAAACCACAATAGAACATGGCTGTACCTGCATCTCATTTGTTCCCTGGAGCGCGGGGTGATTGAAGAAGCCCCAAACGAAAGAGGACATATGCCCAGCTCCGTATTTTAGAAAAGGATCAACAAGTAGCCTGAAGAGGCAACAGAACAGAATACAGAACAGAACTACAGTAAAGCCAATCTGTGGGGAATCAGAGGCCAAGGCTCTAAAGCAGGGGTGTCGAACATAAGGCCCGGGGGCCGGATCTGGCCCGTCCAGGGCCCTTATGCGGCCCACAAGCAACTGAGGCTGGGGGGGGGGGGAGTGGGCATGGCCACTGCATTATGGCTTTAGCAGAGCAGAACAGCCTTGCCTGCAGCAGTCAAGCATCACTGCACTGCTGCCTCTCCGGTCCACCTCTGTGGGTTTTCCTCTGCACACCCTCCCACCCCAGGGGGCCTTGCAATGAGGACACGCCAACTCGGAGCTTACCAGCTGCTGTCCTTTATACAGTTTCTATCCCCAGTACCTGGCATTATGTTTTATGGCACACATGGCCTGACAAAGAGACATTTATGTCAGATCTGGCCCACGTAACAAATGAGTCTAACACCTCTGCTCTAAAGAGTCATAAGAATGTAGGAGCCCTGCTGGGTCAGGCCAGTGAGGGTCCATCTAGTCCAGGCTACCGTCTCACACACACATGGGCCCTCCAGTTTCCCCAGAGAGCCAAACCAACAGCGCACAGGGGCTGAGGCCCTCCCACAATGTTCCCTCGGAGCACTGGGGTGCATAAGTCTTCCGTCTCTGAGTATGGGAGTATCCTTTAGTCAACGTGGCTGGTAGCCACTGGAGATGTGGAGGCCCATAAAAAACTTTTTAAAACCCTCCAGGCCAAATAAATCCAATTTTTCCCCTGAGGACCTTTTTTCAGTCTTTTCAATAGAAAAACTGAAAAGTTTCAAGGAGCACTAAAAACTCCTATGAGATATTTTCCCTTTCACAATGAGCAAAATGCTCCAGACAAGGTTCTTCACACTCAAAATATAAAAGTCTGAGGACTTTTTGAGTGGGGGGGGGGGGAAAGTTGTCTTTTAAAGTTTAATATAAACTTATATCCCGAAAATCTGGTTGGTCTCTAGGGCACTACATGACTCAGATCTCACATTACCTCCCTCCTGTTTCGTAATTGCTCAAGGCAGTTCACAGCATCAATTTAAAACCACATCAAAGAACAACAAGCAATGTAACAAAGCAGCAGAAAAGATGCCTGTTTCAAAAGGCCTTCAGGAACAGAGAGCCTGACGGAGGCACTCAAAGTCAGAAGGAAGAACGCCAACAAGCCCCCCTTGGAGGTTTGTCATCTCACAAAGGCAGGACAACACGGAAGGCCTCAACTCCTGCAATCAGCAGGGCTCTCAACCAAGGCCATGACTAGGCCAGCCATTCCCGAAAGGGCTCCCAAATCTTCTAAGAAACATGCAGATCACAAGAGGGGGACCCGTGATACT